CGACTTAATATCTATTTCGTCAAGAAATTCTGACATCTTCATCTGACATGGTTTGGTTTGGTCCTTACCATCCAAAATTCTTATATTGTGTAAAAGAACTTTTTCCTTAATCAGCCGTCAGACGAAATTCTTCTAATCCATAACGAAAACCCTTATATCACCTCTCACTTCAAAACTTCAGAAGCACCCATGTGAAGGGTACCACGCCCTTCTAGCCTACTCAGTAGATATGAAACTTGAAATCAAAAGCACCGAAGTAGTCTCAGAAGTCAGTAACCACCAAAGTACCCTCAATAGATCTCATAGGAAAATCATCGTACCACAGGTCAAGTTCAAGAATAGAGACTAAGAACTCATTAGGTTAATCAATCACTGCTAAGTGTATACGCGAGAGTGGTATATAATTTAGACTTAACAAGATTTAGGATGTGTGATTCCGCCCTATCTCCTGTTCCTTGTCTGGTTGTGGACCTGGGGCAGAATCACCCATCCGAACGTTTTGTCAAATCTAAATTATATACGACTTGTATACATGAAGTGATGGTGGATAAGCCAAGTATGAGTCTTATCATGAACTTCTGAGCAAAAGCCCGCAGGCTTACTATAACAATCGGAGATATCTGAACAGGAGTGGTAGCGCATTATAATGGGCTTCATAATCAAGTTACACAAGGCAACAGGTGGACTTGATACCATTTTGGGTGATCATCGATAGATTAGCCAAGTCTGCACACTTCCTGCCATTGTAAAGAAACAGCCAAAATAGAGAGGTTAACTAGAGCGTGTGTCCAAGAGATTAGTTAGACTGCATGGTGTTCCAATATCTGTTGTCTCCGTTTGAGATAGTAGAATCATCTCCCAGTTCAGGCAGTCACTTCAGAAATCTCTGGGAACTTGGCTAATCATGAGCATAGCCTACCATCCTTAAATCAACAAAGAGAATAAGAGAACGATTCAAGCATTAGAAGTCATGCTGAGAGCATATGTGATTGACTTGGGTAAAGCATGAGATGCCCATTTATCAACTAGTCGAGTCTTTTACCATGCTAGCATTTAAAGTTTCTCCATTCGACACCTTCTGTGGTCGTAAGTGAAGATCCTCTCTGTGCTGGACTAGATTAGGTGACAAAACTAGCTGGAGGTTTAATTTCCAGACGACACCTTCGTTGGTCCGAAATCCATCCGAGAAACTATCGAGAAGAGAGTACGAATCAGGAAGCGACGTAAAGCTTCCAGAGTCAATCAGAAAAGCTACGCCTTCCATAAGATAAAATCCTTGAAATTCCAGGTGGGTGACCTTGTCATGTGAAGATCTCAACCGGAAGGGCATGGTACGCTTCAGAAAGCGTGGAATGCTAAATCCAAAGTACATAGGACCATTCGAGATTCTTACTAGAATTGATCCAGTAATGTATAGACCTTGACTACCTTGAGAATTCAATATCATACACCCTACCTTCCACGTCCTTATCTTTCAACCTATTTGTCCGACGAGACTCTTGTAATCCCACTCGACGAAATCGAGATCGACGAGAGCCTCAACTTCGTGGAAGAGCCAGTTGAGATCATGGACCGAGAGGTCACGCAAACAAAGCAAAGTCGTAGTCCTATAGTGAAGGTTCGCTGGAATGCCAAGCGGGGACCTGAAGTCACTTGGGAGCGCGAGGATCAAATGAAACTGAAATATCCTCATCTTTTTACTTAATTATTTGTAATTGCTTAATTGCTTAAACTCTAATTTTGAGATGAAGCTCTCTCCAACGGGGGGATGATGTGACAACCCGAAATTTCTATCTTGTATAGTCATTCAATTCAATCACAGTCAGACTCGTTTCTGCTATCTTTTAGCATTGTTTAGAGTCTGTTTGAGTGTTCTAAGCCTAGTACATTCAAGGTTTGGGTTTAGGAATGAGTTAACTTAAGTTCTTCGTATTGCATTAGAGCCAAACACTCCTTCAAGAGGAGTGTACGGCCGCACACATGAGTGTACGGCCGTACACTCATGGTGGCCATGAACCCATGCCCATATATAAGCTATTCCTTCATTTTTCACACTTTCTCACACATTCAAGTCAAGAAAAATCGGTTCTCCCTCAAGTATCATTAAGATTCTTCATCCTAATCCTCCAAAGTGTAAGTGATTCTTCATGTACCTTGTTATACTTGAAAGACCACTAGATTCAAGCCTTGATTTTTCATGATTCAACATCCCTTCATGATCTTGAAGGGAGTACGGCCATGAACCCTTCATAGGTTCATTGGCCATACACACCCCAAGACCTTCCAAAATGAGAGCTTTGTCCATCTTCTTGTTGTACATTTGACACACTAGTTTCGCCATGGATCAAACACCCATTTTTGCATGTTCTTCCATGAGTGTACGGCCGTACACTCCATGACTGTACACTCAATGGCAGTACACCACTTTGGCCGTACACACCTTGGCTGTACACTCCCTTATGTGGTTGTAAACCCCTTTACTACAATCACATGTGATTGTAACACTTCAATTCAAGTGTTTCCTAGTCCCTAAAGTGATTTCCTATCATAATTAGTTGTTATATACAGTAATTATATCCATATATGTGTCATTATATGCTTAATAGGATCCGCTTGTGCTCAAGACTTCACTTGACACTTAGCATCCTATATTGACCTTTCACTCGAATCACCCACATAAGGTGAGTTCATACCCCTATAATCTACCTTTTAAATGATTTTAAATGCTTTTTAGGAGGGGGGGGGGGGAATACAATTTGAACACAATTGTTAAATAGTGTTAATAATTATATGTGATGTCAATCACATAAAAAGTTTTCTTATGCCTTTAAATACAGTGGTAACATTAAAAGATTACCAAATACTTTCAAAATAACTTAAAGTCATGCCAAATCTTTAAAGTTATGTAAACTCTTCTTAAAACATTGTTAAAACTCTTTTAATACTGTTAAACTCTTTGAAAAAGGTTTTATAAACTATTTCATATTATAATTGTCAAAATCATGTTCATATATGTATAAGTATATAAATAAGACGTAAAGGGCTTTGGACTAATGAGTTGTCTTATCTCCTTTTCCTTGTTTAGATGTGGTTTAAGGTGAGGTTATTTGTCCGAGGGTCGTTTCCTTCTTAATTATATACATTATACATATGGGAATATAAAAGGTTACTTCAGTCGGTATCATTACCTTTGTATCACGCTGAGGAAAGGGTATGTTCATGAGAGAACATGCTAAACGGATGGACCATATAAATTATAATAGGTATAATTTATGATTCAAAACTAAATATACATGTATGATTCACGATTGTATACTTTACATTCCAAGTATATTAGGAAAGGAAAGTACTAATAACTCATTTATTTACACCAGGATACGTATAATACTTTTAGTATATGGATAATATATTAACGGAGTAATAATAAATCCTACCGGGTTTGCACTAACAGCGGTACAAATACAACGTACCAGAGTTAGCAATCACGGAGTAATAATACATCCTACCAGGTTTGCACTAACTGGGGTACAAATACAACGTACCAGGGTTAGCAATCACGGGGTAATAATACATCATACCGGGTTTGCACTAACAGGGGTACAAATACAACGTACCAGGGTTAGCAATCACGGGGTAATAATACATCATACCGGGTTTGCACTAACATGGGTACAAATACAACATACCAGGGTTAGCAATCACGGGGTAATAATACATGATACCGGGTTTGCACTAACAGGGGTACAAATACAACGTACCAGAGTTAGCAATCACAGGGTAATAATACATCATACCGGGTTTGCACTAACAAGGGTACAAATACAACATACCGGGGTTAGCAATCATGGGGTAATAATACATCATATCGGTTTTGCACTAACAGGGGTAGAAATACAACGTACCAGGGTTAGCAATCACGGGGTAAAAATAAATCTTACTGGAAACAAATGAGAAATCTATTTTTCCAGATAAGTATACGAGATATAAACAACTTTATCACATTTTAAACCCTAATTAACCAGGATAATATTAGGGTAGTTATTCACCAGTAGTTTATTCTTTTTAAGAAATACTACTGTAGTATTCACTTTTCATAATTCAAAATGGAACGGTTTTATGGGATTAAAACTACTTATCAGATGTAAAGCAGAAAATATAGAATTTTTTGGAACATCATCATTCATTCTCCTAAAACTAGTATAACATAAAGGACCTTAAATGGTTAACTTTATAATTCCTTAGTTTATACACCAGAGTTGTACATAATTAATATCCGACTAACAGTGGAATGTGTGATTTCCGCCTTACTTCATGTTCCTTGTTTGGGTGTGGGCTTAGGGCAGATTCACACATTTAACTGTCAGTTCGATATTATGTTATATATGATTAGTATAAACTAAGTAATTGTAGAGGGAACTATTATGGTTATCATATTGTCACGTCAGAATATATAGGATTTTCTGGAGGAACCAGTTAACTTTTCCAAGAACTTAGAGTATACTTCATATAGCTAAAATACTTATGAAATCACCAGCTTAAATGCTGATCTACTCTTTCAAAATAACTTGTATTCTCAGGAATCCAGTAGACAGGTACACTCCCGAAGCTTTTGAGAAGACTGCCTAGTACCGATCTGCGACTCTTGTCTTCTACTGTATCTACTTTGATGTTTGAATATGTAATGTTTAAACACTTATGTAAAACTTATACTTATTAATGCAATGGTTGTTTGTACTTTGATTACTATAATGCATGTGTTGAGATACTTACATGACGTCCTCCGCCCCCGAACGTTTCCGCCGTTCTGGTTTGGGGGTGTGACATATACCATCCTCAACATCATCAAGAATTTCACTCAGCTTTCGAGACTTAGATTTTCCCTCACAAACTTCATCTATAACTTGACTGACCATACCCTCATCAACCTCTTGTTGTCCATTTTCCTGGTATTTCCCTTCATCCTGGTTTTTCCCTTCACCAACAAGTTTTTATCCCTCAATCTAAACTTGTCCCTCATCCACATGTTTTTTCCCCTTACATCCAGCTCTACCTCCACCCCTTCTACTATCTATTTTTCTCCTTTGAGCAGTTGGTTGATTTGGCTCATTACTGGTTTCTGTACTCCTCCTTCTAGTCTTTCTCCTAGAACCAGATGCTTGATTGGGATCCACATTTTGATTGATTGGAGTTTCAGTTGTTGCACTTTCATGTTCCTCTTGATTTTTTCTTGGCCTACCAATATTTTTGGGTGCATGTGGAACTCTTGGCTTTGTTTCACTTATGCAGCTTTGTTTTGGTATGTCCAAATTCAAAACAATTACCACACCTCACAGTTCTTGATACTTTAACCCTTGCAGTAGCAAACTTGGTCTCTTTTTCACTTGAATGCCTTCTCCTTTTGGTGGCAGGTCTTCCTCGCATTCTTCTAGCTATTGGTGGCAAAGGCTTTTGGAAGGGAGTTTGCTCCCATAAATTGCTCCCATTTACAGGCATTTTGTTACTTTGGTAACATTCAATAAACCCGTCTTTTGAGAAGCATTCATTAATATATCCATCAGTTGTCTTATGGATATAGTTAATGGCAACATTTGTATGAACACAAGGGATTCCAGAAAGATCCCAAAGCCTGCATGTGCAAGTCCTGGCCTCTAAGTCTACCTTGAAACTTTCATAATTGAACCTAGCTTCAAACACTGAACCTTGGCTATGAATAACTATCCAAAACCTGAAATTGGCACATAAATTTAAAAACATCAACATAAGAGCATTGATTTATAAAATACAAATGCAATTGGCTAAATAATACATACCTCATACACTTCCCAAAAGGGTTCATTTTTTTCAACACATTTGGGCACACATTGGACTTCCATTTGTTACACTTATCAGTCATGTGAGCAAACCTATCAATTATGTAGATTCTTATCTCCTCAAGCATTGTTATCAAAGGCTTTTTCCTAGCTTCTATTATGATGGAGTTAAAGCATTCTGAGATTCCATTCTCAACTGCTTCACATGCAAACACTGGAGTAAAGAAAGCTCTGCACCAAGTTCTAGGTTGTTTAGACATCAAATACTCATATGCACCAGGACTAAGCTTCTTTATTTCACCCATATGTTTCTTGAAGTCTCCTTCTACACAACTCATTCCTGAAGCCTAGAAAAGTCTTTTGAATTCTAATCCGGTGTAAGCCTTCTTGAAGTTTGCATAAATGTGTCTAGCACATTGTCTGTGCTCCACATGTGGCAAAATGTCTTTCACAGCTTCCAGTAAGCCCTGAAACATATAAGTACATTGAATATTAATACAAAACATTTCAATTATATAGTATATTAGTACAAAACATAGCAACTAAAAGTACCTTATGTTGATCTGATATGATAACCAACCCTCTACCACCATCCAACATTAGATCATCATGTATAAGCTCCAAAAACCAAGTCTAATTAGGTTTATTCTCCACATCTACAACAGCCCAAGCTATTGGATAGACGTGGTTGTTTGCATCCCTTCCAATTGCTGTCAACAGTTCACATTTCACCTCATCTTTCAAGAAGCATCCATCTATACCAATCACTTTTCTACATCTACTTTTCCATCCACTACTTAAAGCCTTAAAACATATATAAAATCTGTGGAAATAGCTCTTTCCATCAGGGTTGTTGATGACACTAACCTTGCAAGTAGACCCTAGGTTTGATCTTAAAAGCTCATAGGAGTAGTCCCATATTCTTGCATAATGCTCAGTTAACTTTCCTTCAATTAACTCTTTTGCCCATTTTTTTGCCCTCCTACATTGGCCAATAGACACATCACATCTAAATGTCCGTTTAATATCACTTATCATCTCCCTAAACTTAAGCTTTGGCTTGTTTGCAATCTCAGTCATGTAATGTCTCCCAATCCATTCAGGAGACACAATTGAACCAAACGTGAATGACCTAGAGCATTTGTGTATCCTACTCATAGTTTTGATTTGTAATGACCTTTCCTTGTACATCCAAGCAACATGCAATCTGAAAGGGCATTGGTTGTCTTCATTTCTTTTCCCACATTTTACAACAATTCTAACACTATCACACTTGGCAAAATATATTTGATACCCATGGGACACAACATAGTTTGCAACACAAAATTTAAGTTGCTCGGCGGATTCAAATATATTGCCAAGTTTTGGTTCCATCTTGTCCCATTTGATGTTGGGATCATGAACCCTATACTTAGGTTGTACTTCTTCATCATCATCTTTATCACTTTCCCAGTCATTTTCATGATATACTCGTGCTCTCATTTCATCAGACATACTTGCATTACGAAGATTAGCATCATTAAGTAATACATTCAAGAAATTATCATTACACTTATCTAGTGTGCTCATGAACTCATCCTCTGGTTCATGGTCCATGTAAATACCATGTCGTTCAAAGTCCATCTCGTTCAACCTAGCAAAAGGTTCGTTCAAAGCAACAAATGGATCGTTCCATTCTTCCTCTGATGAAGCCATTCTTCACTCCTACATAAAATCAAGGTTACATAACGTCATTTTAACTAAGAGATCAAAGGAAAAAATGAAAATTTAGTCCAAAACTGTAAATACCTAACCTATGATGATCGTCTTCTTTACTTGACTTACACTATCAACACTGATTATCGTTTTCTTCTTTACTCGAGTTTCTGATAACAATGAAACCCTAAAAAGCTTTGAAAAAGCAGACAAATATGGGCGACAATGATAATTTTTGTGGAGAAATGGAGAAGACGTACGTTTTGGTATAAAGGTGATGGGTATTTGTGTTCTCGATGTCTAACGGACAAGATAACAGGAGTAAATGAGATGTGTGTCACGGGATGTTACCGGATGACCTGCTAAATGGCGTTTTTGACAAAAAGAGCCGAAATGTTGGGCATTAACGCACCAAAATTCATCGCGGGGACTAAACCAATTTTTTTTTGAAACTTAGGGACTTTTAAGTCAAAAGCCCTAAGACCTAACATGTCTACGTGGTAGAGATTTGATCACACAGTATTTGCCATTGTATAAATATATAATAAAAATTAAAAAACATTATTACAGAAGTTAATAAAAATATTAATAATTAATTCTTAGGTTAGTAAACGGATAAACGGTTGTTGCATAAGAAGATTTAACATATTAATGTATATTCTAATTTGGTTTTAGACTGGAATATATGTCTAGAGTTGTAATAATATATATTTCTGTTTTACACTAAAACATATATATGTATTTCTTCGAAGCAACTATTATGTTGCATAAATTAAAAATATATACTTCATCCGTCCTATATTGAATAATATATGTTTTAATTTTGATTTTCTCCAAAATAATAGGCTACTTTTAAAAATAAATATCTGTTTTATCAAAATACCTCTTTATTAGTTAACTTACCATGAAATTAAATACAATAAAATGATGGAATTAAATACAATAAGAGGATACAACAAAATGATACGATTGTTAGCAATGTTCTAAAAAGCTCGTTATGGCTCCAAGACTTGTACTTGTCGCCAAGCTTTGACAAAATAAATAATAATAATAGAAAATACATATAAAATTATTAATTATATACAAATTTGACGTCTCAAGTAACAAATTACAAACAAAACGGTTCGTCACGGCTCAAATAAGCTTGAGTCTTGACATTACAGGCAAGTCACGGTCTTACGTCATTTAAAACCATCATTATTATTTAACACACCATGAAATTAAATACAATAATAAAATAATAATAATAAGTAACGCCATCCTTGAAATTTATAACGCTACGAAAAGTACATCTGGCAAATAACGATATTAATTTTCAAACCCTACTAGAAGAATAAATAAACATTATCCTTGATTCATAAATATATTGAGATAATAATTCAAACAAACTTAAATTAAACAAACCAAAACGTGCAAGCAAACCTCCATTTTCTATTACATATATTATATTGCTATAAAACGATTCTTGTTGTAGTGATTTTCAATCTACTCTTCTTCGTGGCACTTAATGGAATCCTTGTTTACTCCCGCATGTTTAATGCTTCTTCTAAATAAATACAATTCTTAGTCAAATACAAATATTGAAGTTTGAAAAATGTTAGGTGATATATTTATTAAGATTTGTATTCCATTATTAAAATGTTAGCAATTAACTTAATTAATTGTTTAACTTTTTGTTTTTGGACTGAATGTCACTTAACTTCATAACTTATGGACTAAATTACATAAATGGTCCATGCCGTTTGCTGGAAATTATAAATTTAGTCATATTTTTTTTTCTTGCTCCACTCGTCTTTAAACATTAACTTCTTGCATATGCAATCCTTTTACCCGACAATGTTGAAGACAACCCATTAACCTTAGTCAAAAACCATGCCAAAAATTTTCATTTTTATTAATAACATTTTGCAAAGGCCTTGTCTAAATTTTTTCACCAATACACATAAAAGAAGTGTGAGTATCTTGGGGAATAACTTTCTTTGAGCTCTTGTACACATTGCATCCTCTCCTTTAGTTATTTTAAAGTTAATTATGAAAACTATTTTGCAGATCCATAGTTTAAGTCTGGAACCACACAAGTATTCATCCAATTTTCTCAAACCAGGGTTCTGATACCAACTTATAACATCCAAAAAACATACCAAGATTTTTCATTTTAATTAAAAACATTTTCATAAAACCACAAGATGATCAATCATTGTTTTCAAATCAAATCCATATAGTCAGAGTATCAAATAATCTCTAAAGTATAAATCAGCAGGAGATTGTGTACAATTACGCATTCGCCTTCCCTCGATCACCATTGGTACCTGAAAAACAATTACAAACAATTGGGTAAACACAAATATTAGTGAGTCCCCCCCCCCCCCGCCCAAAAAAAATGCCCCACACAACAATACATAACAATAAATGCATACCGGGCCCATAGTATAAAACTAGATTGCCCTTGGGCCCACAGTCTCCCGACTGGATTGCCACCGAGCCCACAACATAAGACTAGAATGCCCCCATGTCCCTCAATTTATGACTGAATTGCTCCCGAGCCCACAAAATAAGACTTAAATGCCCTTCCGGCCCTCAGCTTATGACTAGATTGCTCCCGAGCCCACAACATAAGACTGGAATGCCCTTTCGACCCTCAGCTTATGACAAGATTGCTCCCAATTTTGTTGGCATATAGCACAGAGTAGTACCGCCTCAACCCAACCATACTATGTCGACATATGCAACAGATAAACAATAACGAGCTAGTACAGATAATCATATAGAATTACCAATCTAGCAGATCACTACAACATAGCAACATGCTATACATAAGGATACATAACACAACTTAGTTGGTCGGCATTGGTGCCTTCGACCCACGATTACAGTGAGGATAACTCACATCAATCCTGAAGACAAGATAAACCACCTACTTGAGCCGAAGATATCAATCCTTCTCTTGCAAAACATATCCACAATAAAAACCTAATTAACAATCAAGGAAATGACTGGCCCACAAAAGGTCTAGGCTCACAATTAAACTGCCGTTGGGAAAAAGACCATTTTGCCTTTTCCAATACTACGTCCAAAAGTCAAACCGGCCAAAAATTCAACGGTCAACCCTCAATTGACTTACGCCATGCGTAACTAATCTACACCATCCGTAGAGCTACGCCATGCATACCTAGTTTACGCCCTACGTTAGTGCTCCTTATCCCAAAAACTTCTATAAAGCTCTTAATATGTGACAACCCGAAATTTCTATCTTGTACAACCATTCACTTCAATCAAATTCAGACTTGTTTCTGCTAACTTTTAGCACTGTTTAGAGTCTGTTTGAGCATTCTGAGCCTAGTACATCAAAGGAATCAGTGTTTGGATTTATCAGTTAGGGTTCCAACCCAGCTAGCAAACTGTAAACCTCCTCAAAAGGAGTTTACGGTCAAGAAGCTTAGAGCTTACGGTCATGGTGACCGTAAACTCCCTATATATACATAAATTATGATCATTTTGATCATTTCTTTCATTTCCAAGCCAAAAATCTCGAAAACTCTCTCAAGTATCATAAGATCTTCATCGTGATCTTCCAAAAATGTAAGAATTCTTTCCTTTGATTTTTTGTTACATCTCTTTATCTAGTGATTATGCATGATTTCATCCATGCAATCTCTTCATTTTGTTAGATCTTCAAGTGTTCTTCATGTCACCAAGAACACCAAGAACACACACTAGTGTTCTTGGATCCTAATCACCCTTACAAGCTTCTACTAAGTAAGTACACTACCCTTAGCTTGTTATATACTAAAATCGCTAGTAAATCACCTTGAAAACCATCATTTGTGCAAGATTTGATGAGCTTACGGTTGAATCTCCTTAGACCATGAACTCCATGACCGTAAGGCCATTAGACCGTAAACCTTATGACTGTAAGGTCATAGGACCGTAAACACATGGGACCGTGAACTCATTGGACCGTAAGGTCATTAAACCGCAAACCCATTAAACCGTAAACTCTTATGGTCATGCCACTTGGACCGTAAACTCCTTAGGGTGGCCATACACCCTTGGTATGCAATCACATGTGATTGTAGCACTTAAATCTAAGTGTATCCTATGTCCTAGGGTGTTTCCTTTCATGATTAGTTGTATAAATACTAATTATATGCTTATATGTATCATTATATGATAAATAGGATCCGTGTGTGTGCTCAAGTCTTCACTTGGCACTTATCATCCTATATCACTCGTTCATCCAAACCACTCACTACAGGTGAGTTCATACCCCTTAATCTATCTTTTAAATGATTTTAAATGCTTTTATGGGGGGGAATACAAGTAGAAAACATGTTAGTTATATAATCAATCACATGTGATTTATAACTATGTTTCAAACAAAGGGTTTCATATACTTCAAACTGTGTTTCAAACAAATGATTTCTTATACTTTCACACTGTATTATCAATCAAACTACTTTTAAATCGTTTTATAAATTGACATCAAGTCATCAATATTTATTATTAAGCTCTTCAAATGTTTTACAAAACTTCTTTTTAAACTTATATATTGTCAAATGCATGTCTATATATGTATAGTTATATAAGTAATGTTTAAAGGACTTAGGACTGATAACTCGCTTAATTTCCTTTTCCTTGTTTGGATGTGGCCTGAAAGTATCGGTTATTTGTCTGAAGGTCGTTTAAATATCAATTATATATTATGTATACATATGTAGATATAAAATTACTATCAATCAGTTCAGTACCTTTGGGTAACAAAGGCATACCTTCCTTCATTCAAACTACAGAAATTACTAGTAAACTGTAATAGGTATAGTTTAGGAGAATACTATCATATACAAATACTATAACAGAGAATACTAGACAGAGAATACTATACAAAGGATACTATACAGAGAATACTATACATAGAATACTATTACTATAACAAGTATACTATAACAAGATTCAGAGATAACATAATGTGAGATACTACTTCATGACACATCGACCATTTC